TAGCCTACTTCAAACCATAAAGAAACTTTTGAAGTTTGCCAATAGTATAGGGTGATGGAGAATTAAAATTAGGAGGAAGAACCATATAAACTTCCTCACCCAAATCAATATGAAGGAAGGCATATTGGACATCTAACTACCCTAAGAGCTAAAAGTTAGCAGCTGCCAATGCCAAAATTATACGAACTATGGTTATTTTAGCTATAGGTGAAAAAGTATCAAAATAATCAATCCCCTCAGTTTATATATAACCTTTAGTGACTAAACAGGCTTTATACATATTAAGAGAATCGTCAGCCTTAAACTTTTTTTAAACACCCATTTACAACTAATAAGATGTTTCCCAGGAAGGAGTTCAGTTAAAATCCATGTATTATTTTGCTAAAAAGCAAAAATTTTGGCTTGCATAGCTTCCCTTTATTCAGGATATTTCACTGCTTGATTATATGTCTTAGGCTCAAAGGAAATAGAAACAGAGAGAGAACAAAGTGTTTGTAGGAAGGAGAAAGGCAACTATAGGAAAGGACAGCAGATAAGGGATAACAAACACCTAGACTAAAGGGAAAAGATGGTGTTGATATGAGGAATGAACAATGATAATCATGCGAGTAGGATGGAGGGTTATGGGACTGAGAAGAACAACATAAAAGCAAAGAAGAAGGGACATCAGTAGAAAAATGATATGAAGAGGTAGGAGAAATGGGAGCTAAAGAATTTAGAGTAATAAAAACAGTAGAATTAGAGGCGGATTGGATGATAAAGGGATCATGATAATCAAGGTGAGGTGTAAATTGTGGCAAAGGAAAATCAATAGAAGAAGAAGTTGAAGATGAAGAAAAACGAAATTTTGTCTCATAGAAAATGACATGCTAACTAATGAAAATATTACAAGAATGCAAATCAAGACATACAAAACCGTTGGTGCCAAGGTGAAAATCAAGAAAAACACATTTCCTAGCTTGATGGTCAACTTTAGTGTGATGAGAAATAAAAGTAAAAGCAAAACAAAGAGAACTAAAGACACGAAAATTAAAAAAAAATCAAAGGATGCATTATAAAGATTTGTAAGGTGTTTGTCGTTGCAAAACAAGGGTGGGAAGGCGATTAATGATGTGAACCACATGTAAAATAGCATAAGACTAATAAGCTAAAGGTAAATGACTTTGAAACAATAAAGCTTTAGCTAGCAACATTAAGAATATGCTGGTATTTATGTTTCACAACACTATTTTGTTCAGGTGTTTCAATATAAGTTGTTTGATGAAGAATGCCTTTTGAATCAAAGAAAAAATGAATGAGAAATTCAGGACAATTTGTCTAAGTGAATAATTTTTATAGCAAAAGAAAATTAATTTTTTAGAAATAGAATGGAGCGCTCCAAATGAGTTCTAGTTTTAGATTTTAATTTTATCAAAATGATCCAAATAAAGCGAGTAATTGACAATAGTCAAAAAATAATGATGACCATAAACAAAAGCGATATTAAATAGATCCTAGATATCAACATATAAAAGTTCAAGAGGATGAGTAGTGTGAAAAACACTAATAGTAAATGATAATTTTTTTTTTTTGCCAAACATCGCAACTTTTATTTAAAGTAGATTTACAAGTTATTGAAGATTATTTTTGACCTAAAATAATAATTGTAGTAGTGGAGGCATGTCCTAACCTAAGATGCCACAAATCAAAAGAAGGTATAGATTTAGAATGTAAAGTAACAGGAGAAATTAAAAAAGGTGAGAACCTATTTTTATGATCTTGAAGAACATAGAGACTATTCTGAACCTCAGCTATACCAATCATCTTCTAAAACTCTATGGCTTGAATGAAATAATGAGTGACATTGAGGATTAAGAAACAATGAAGGTGAAAAATGAGTTTATAAGCACAAATCAAAAGATAGTCAATATGAGGAATAAACAAAACATTGGTAAGATAAAAATTAGAAGAAAGATAAATGATTCTAGAATGATGAGCCGGAACAATAAAATCATTAGGTAACTAAATAGAAATAGGAAAAAATAAAAACTAACTCAAAGAAACTATCAATAAAAATATATATATGATCAATTGCGGACGAAAGGTGTTTAGAGGAAAGTAAGTGAGATATACCTAATGTTAAAGATGCCTTGATAGAAAGAGGGGAATGAGAGGCAATCACAAGATTAATTTTTGCCGAAGGAGTTAATGAAGTAACAGGTGCAGGGGTTTGCATAAGAGTGAGAAGCTTGTTGTTTGATCCCAAATGAATGGAAGAGAGGCAGAAGAAGATGAGGAATGAGCAATTCCATTAGCAGGTATAGAAGGATCCAATCATAATGGTGGAAGGCAGAATGATGAGTTTGGGTGCCATAGGGTTTTAGAAGCATCAAATAAAGTAGAGAAGGAAAACAATGAACTAGCTCTAGTATCATGATACAATTTATACAAATGAAAAAGACCTATCAAGATCTAACGGAGAATAAAATAGAGATTTATCAAAAAATAATATAATAACAAAAAATAAAATAATTATAATCAAATTAATTATAACTACCGTAACTATACAAAATAATATATATAAAATGTATACAGTAGAATAAATCACGTTCCGAGTTGCTGCGGCCATGGACTCAAAGGGCAAAAATAATATCGAAGTTTTTTTGTAGAAATTTACAAGCCCACTTTAATTACAATGAATAATGAGAATCTAACCATTACGTACATTTTTCACTGCCAAAAAAGATTTAAGAATAAAAAAATTAAAGTCATATGTGACTGCTTTTAATTTTTAACTCTTGATCATGTGATTTCAAAATAATAACCGTTTGCTATAATTATTCGTCAAATTTTGCTAATTTTTCGTCAAATTTTTCTTGTGCGAGGTACGAAAACATTCTATTTTTCTTACTATTTTTATTTGTTAGATGATATACTTCGCTGAATATATTATTTTAAAATGGAAAAGTACAATAAATTTTTTTTCCAAGGAAAAGTACAATAAGTTTACTTTAATTGATTTTGTATCAGAATCATCATGGGACTTTGATTTTCCATTTTGATGGTGTTGATTTTAATTTTAATTAAATTTTTACAGTATTGTTACAAATTAAAATGGGACAAAAGTTTAAAAGTGTAATATTCCCTTTAAATTATTGTTTGACGTAATTATTCATCAAATTAAAATCTGATAATTCAGAAATTAATAAAACAAATAAACTAATCAGCTCACTTGTTAAACGGCTATCGTTTGGTTTGTTGACCAAGCTCAGTCTCAAAGAAAATCTTACGTGTTACAGACAACCATTATTCAAATTAGGAACAAGTAGATGGCTTGACGATCTAATTTGTCCTACATGGAGAAGTTCAGCCCTGGCCCCCGTGACCCTTTCTACTCTTGACAAATCTAATTAGCGATAATATAATTTTCAATCTCTCAAGTTTTTCTTAATTATTAGTTTAGTCATTAAATTTCTATTTAGTTTAATTCAATTCTTACAGTTGATTGAATTAAGAAAATTATAACGATAAATTATATCAAACTAAAAAAATTATAAAAATCAAAGTATTCTGAATTAAGAAACTATAGACTGAAATTTTTTTATTAAATAAAGACGGGGTTATTTTTATTCAAAGTTTAGGAACTGGATTTATAATTGATAAAAGTTTAAGAATTCCGAGTTATATTTTTAAAATTTCATTATTTTAGTCAATAATTACTACTTTCACTAATTAATATACGCATGTTGTTTACTTGTTCGTCCCCAAAAAAGTTCGTAAATAAATTAAAGTCTTAGTCATGTAATTCAGTAGGGGGAAAAAAAAGACCTATTATGCTTTTATAATAATATGTAATTGATATAATAAAGTCATAAAAGTTAGACCTCATTTTTTAAAAAAAAAATAGAAACAAGAATTTAAATTACTTTTTCCAATATATGTATATTAGTAACCATTTTAAACTACTCTAAACAGCCAATATGGCAATATTATATTACTTTTTTCTAAAATATATTTAAACATAATATTTTCAATAATTTTATTATTAAAATAAAATACACTATATTTCTAAATAAACAACATTAACAATTTAAGATTGCATATTTTATTATTTTTTTCAAATATATGTTAAAATTCATAAATAATTAAAATATTAATAAGAATAATGAAGTCATTAATGTCCAATCATGCACAAATGTTTATTTCTTTCCATGACATGCTGCATAAAATTATCTGATCATACCCAATATTTATAAAGTAGTGTTTGAGAAAATTTTCACATAAATTAGGAAAAATTATTATATTGTTTCGTTTGTTAAAATATGTCAATTTTTTATTATATCCTTACTAATTAAAAGGACATAAATATTATTATGAAAATTGTAGCTAATGAAAACACGACAAACGCTTTTTATTTGAGAAAGCTAAGGCTATATATCATGCTTTCTCAATTTTAAATATTATCATTAAAATTAAAGTGTAAAAATGAATTATTATTATTATTATTATTATTATTATTATTATTTTATTATTTTTGTAATACACCTTATATTTTTTTTTATCTAAGCTTTTTTTGGCAAACAAATAATTCTGAGTTAAGACAAGGACAGAATCCTATCCCACAAGCGCGTATGCGTCAAATCATTAAGATGAAAAGACTAAAAAGGGCCAAAAATAAACGAAGCAGAGATCTTAACATTTTCAACATCGCAACTTATACGTAGCACTGAACCATGCATGTCCTGTAGTGTTAATACAGATGATCAAACTCAAAGTTAGACCATCGAAATTTCTGAAATTGAAAATTATAAGCTACTATGTGGTAAGGAACAAGTCAGATACATTACAATACAATGCCCGGTCCAGTATTCATCATATTATTCAATTACTGAGTCAACGTTCAACATTTTCTCCCCACCCTTGGCTTATTATTCCTTCCCTCCCATTTTGGTTCAATTCCCATTTCCCTTATAAATATCACCCACCCATTTCATCCCCATCCTCATTCAAAATCCGAAAAACTGACCTTTTAATTTTCCTAGCTCCTCCCATCGTTCTGCAACTTATAATCTCATGTCTTCCTTACAAATCTCTGCGTCATTTTGTTCCTTTTCTTCTTCTTCTTCTTCTGTCAAGAAAGTTAACGCCGCCATTAATGTCCCTAAGCTCCCACGAGTTCATTTCTCGCATCCAAAAATGCACTCAACCAGCACTACAAAGCTGGTTCGGGAACTGCATGGATCCATAGACGCAACAGTCCCATCACAACTAGATGTCACCTCCACATCTACACAAATATACGATGATCCCTACAAAGCTAATATTCAACTGCATGCAATTTTAGAGGCCGTGTCTGACAGAATTGAAATGCACAACAACATGGGAGAGCAACGAAACAACTGGAACACACTTCTTTTGAACTCCATCAATATGATGACCCTCACTGCCACAACCATGGTTGGTCTCAACACTGCCATTGACAACTCTGCTCTCAAATTATCCTCCACTCTCTTGTTCACTGCAGCCACGGGCATGCTTCTCATCATGAACAAGATTCAACCCTCACAGCTCACCGAGGAACAACGAAATGCGACTAGATTGTTCAAGCAGCTTCACAATGAAATCCAAACCACGTTAGCTGTTGGAAATCCTACTGAGGAAGACGTCAAGAATGCCATGGAGAAGGTTTTGGCTCTTGACAAGGCTTACCCACTTCCTCTCTTGGGAGCTATGCTCGAAAAATTCCCTTCGAAGTTCGAGCCTGCTGTCTGGTGGCCTCAAACTAAAACTAATGAAGTCGTTAAATCCCAGACCAAAATGAATATTAATGGATGGAGTCCAGAACTAGAAACGGAAATGAGGCAGATAGTTGAAGTGATGAAGAGAAAAGACGTGGAAGAGTATGAGAGGCTAGGAAACTTGGTTCTCAAGTTCAACAAAACCTTGGCCGTATCAGGTCCTTTACTCACTGGGATTGCAGCTTTAGGTTCTGCTTTAGTGAGCCATGGCTCGTCCTGGCCAGGCATTGTGGCGGCCATGGCTGGGTCGTTGGCGGCTTCAATGAATGCATTGGAACATGGAGGCCAAGTGGGGATGGTGTTTGAGATGTACAGAAACTGTGGTGGATTCTTCAAGTTGCTACAAGACACCATTGATACCACACTGGAAGAGAAAGACTACGAGAAAAGAGAGAATGGCGAGATTTTTGAGATGAAAATGGCGATGAAATTGGGAAGAAGCGTTTCGCAGCTCAGACAACTTGCCTCCAAATCTTCTGCCTATGACTCAGAAGGAATTACCTTGGATGAATTTGCCAGCAAGCTCTTTTGAGAATAGTACAAATTTTTTCTTTATTTTATTTGATTTATTAAACTTCATCCTGCTGGATAAAAACATTATTTTATTCTTTATTGTATTTAGCCTTCTGAGTAATTAGGAAATATATGTAGTTGGAGAAGAACAGATGTTTGTGTAAATCCATCTTCATGACGTCTTCATTCAATTCAACTATTCGTTGTTCCACAATCTTGCTTTCTTACAAGTTCAACTGTCCTTGCATATATAATGGTTCAAATTTGAACACATAGTCCAAGAGAACAAGACTATCTTGCTAGAAAGGATCCCGCTATATTCATGGGTATATAGCTACTTAGATAGCAATCATAGAATTTTATTTTTCAATTAATAAAAAGTTTTATTCATGTTTATAAAAAATTGATTATTATTTCTACTTTTTTGTTGACTTGTAAAAATAATTATATTTTCAACTTTTGTTGAGATTATTATTTTTTAGTTAAAATGTATTATTGCCCCAACACTTTCTTTCTTTCAATGAGTACTGGGTACCTTACACTAATGGGTAGAGTATTTTTTCTTATAAATCATTTTGCTCCTCTAAATAATGATTTAGAATAAAAAATACCTCACTTATTAATACATGGTGTTAGTGTTCTTTGAAGAAAAGTATAGAACAAAAATATACTTTATTTTTTTTTCAAGTTTGAACAATGTTCAATTTCGTCCCACACAGACCTCCCCCCTCCCCCCCAACATGAGAAAACAAAGCTGTTAATGTGCAATAAAAAAACTATAGAGAGGAGTGATTAATTTGGTCACCTTCCATGAGAGCTTTTAAGGTTCCAAATCTTCCATTCAAAAACTTTCATTGTAGCAAAACATTTACAACATATATATTCAAAATAAATAAGCTTTGGGATTTTACACAATACGAGAATACTGTATAAGTCCATCTTCAGTATGTCTCAACTATTGCTACAAGATATCCAATTTTTCATACAAATTAAAGTTCTATTTCTTGCTATGTAAAATGTTTCAAATATCTAGCCAGGAAGGGGCCATTATTATGATAATGGATGTAGCTAGCGTTAATACAGTTTACTTCAAATAGTAAAATTTAATTCCATTTTTTGTTGACTTTCAACAATATTTATATCTTTTAAATTTTACAAAACAATTATTTTCCTTTAAAAATTATCCAAAAATTAGTATTCATTATTCACGTTATAAGTATGAGTAGTATTTTGTCCCAACAAAAAAAAAAAAGAGTAGTGTACACGTAACTCTCATCATCTAAACAAATGGTTATGAGTTTGATTCGCCGATGATGCATGCAATTATCTAGTTGAAAGGATTTACAATTTGCTTCAGGAAGATTGGTGTTGTCTCATCATATTGTATCCAAATACATACATATATACATATATATATATATAGATAAATTATATGTTTAAAAAATAGCATTTTTTTATATTAGGTTTTGTAAATGATAAAGGAGAGAGGAGTGAGAAAGAAGGTTTCCTTAAATTTCATCCCAATAAAATTATACGAGCTTTATTTATACTTCAGGCTCAAAAAGCTTTTATGTGAAATTAAAAAGGCATAAAAACTGGTAATCAATAATATTGAAGTTAACACCAATTATTTGGATCAATCAACTAGTAAGGATGTTGGTCCAACTTAACCAATGATCTCAAATTCAAATTCTTAATGAAAAGTATGCCTCTAAAAAAAGTGTCTTCATTTGCCAGTCGGCTTAGTCTAATTAAAGACATGAGATAGTAGAGCTCACAAAAAAAAAAAAAAATCATTGAAGTTAACCCCTTTTTGTCTTCCATTGTATAATAAGTTAAACCCTTTCGGGGGTAATTGCAACTTAGTCTTTTTTTTTTGTTAATTTAAGTTGAGATGATTTGGGAACATAGGAAGCATTCTCATTTCATTTTAAACCAAATTTGACGGCTTGACGGACTCATCCAGCGGAGCAGGTCAGCCCTGTGACATCTACCTTTGATAATAATACCTTATCTATTTTCTTTTTTATGATACGTTACTATTCTTACTAATTAAGTATATATTTAAAGTATTAATTTAGGAAATTACCTTGCACTACAGTAAGCATTCCGTTCATATAGGGAAAAAAAATCATTGATTCATTCTCATGTTGCGTGAATATATTTTGCAGCGAGACTAAATTTATTAGTCATTCCAAAAGCTATATATTTAATTGAATACATGTTTTAATAATAGAGTAAAATGCATTTATTTTTCATCTGTTTTAATTTCAGTATATTGAAAATTTTTAAATTATAATTAAATTAATCAATTTTATAATACAACTGAATTAATTATTTTATGATATTATTAAAAAATAAAAATGTGTCTAAAAGATTATAAAATACTATCATTCATGTTATAAGAGTGCTTTGTTCCAGACCAATTTTAAAAGGAGTGATTAACAAATTGTTTGCAAAATGGATGGATGGATGGATGGAACGGTACGTTAATTAAAAATAGAGGAGATATATAAGGCAATATCTATTTAAGGAAATTCATGTCTATGTTTTCAAAAATCAAAATAGAAGATAGTAGACTTTTATAATTAAAACAAGATAAAAGGGAAGTGATTTTAGGATTCTTGAGGGATAAGTCTCCGCGTAAAATCATAATTTAATAACAAAGTTCTTCTGTTTTTAATAGAAATAGATCGAGTACTAACGTAATGACAGTATTCATCATGTTCAATATTAAGCTTATATAATATTTTGAGATAATCTAATTATTAGGAATGAGGGATGGGGATCGGCCACCAAGGAAAGGAGAGACGAGTAGCGGAATGATACCATATATTAACTTAACCTCAAGAATTAAATTTATGGGTCATTTTTTTATTTTATATTAATTATTAAATTTAATTTTATCCAATGAAGAACTTTCCACATGCCCCAAACACCAAATCTCTAATTTAGGGAAATCCAGGTTGGTCAAAAGGAAATAATCAATAGTTGACAATTTGAATAGACTAATACTTTGAAATGGACATATAATCAATAATAATATTAAAAAAAGAACGAAGTATGACACTAAGAAAAGAAATGATACTTTTTTATTTCAATTTAAATCATATTGCCAGACGTTGGCTCAACGTAATTGTTGAATCTTATTTTACTATTTAAATATATTGTTATATCTATATATACAAACACAATTATATCATAAATGTGAGTAAATATGTTAAAAAAGAAGAAATAATTTGTATCATTTTAAAGTATATTTCACCAATCAGGTTAACATGTTTAGTTTATATAAAAAAATATTTAACATGTTTAGTTAATTATGATATTCTGAATGCGATGGTTAGGATATAAATATTTCAGCTTCAAAATCAAAAATAGCAAGCAATAAAAAAAATTAAGAATAGTAAACGAAAAAGATAGTGATTAGATAATTCAGAACCATGTATTTTAGCATAGAAATTGACTCTTAAATTATAGGTATTGGAGTACCTGAAACCCTAAACTTGTTTTTAATGCAATATTTTCCTTCAACTTTTGAAAATAATTAAAGTTAACTTTTTTAATAACTAGATTATACCATTTTTAAAAGTTGAAGAAAAACATTTTACTAAAAATGAGTCAGGATAAAATACACTTTTGTCTTTATAATTTAGGAACCAATTTGCCATTTAACCTCATTTTTTAAAATAATATTAATATTATCATTCATTTTTTGTTCAAGTTATAGAAGTTAACCCGTTCAAACATTATAATTATGTGTTTGTTTGGTTTTATTCTTTGGTTAGTTGTGTACTTTAGGTTTTTACGAGTATTTTTTTAGCTTCAGCCATTAGAGTTTGTATTATTTTTTTTTAGTATTAATAAAATGGCTCTCTTTCTGGCAAACAAAAAACTCTTGTATTATTATTTTGGCCAAAAAATTCTTTTAAACTGTACGTTTATTTTAATTTAAGTACTCAACTGCGTAGTGAGTTGCCAATATATTAAACTAAAATCGATTCACGCGGATGCGTATTAATTCGGTGACATTTTTTTCCTTTTAAAACTCAGTCAGGTCAAACTGACCATTTACAGAACTAATTAAACAAAGTGATCGAGGACATAATCTTAGATAGAAAACTACAAAAAGTAAAGAGTACATTGAATTTTATTGTTCAAATTCGTTGATCGTGTAAGTACTATATATGTTCTTGTAATGCAAGAAAACCAACCAAACATCGTGGATTTACCATGTCGTATATATGTTGAAGTGAAGACAGGCTTAGCCATTTTTGTTGGGCAGAACGGTTCAAGTTGAAAGTTATGAATTAAAATAGAGACAAAGTCAGCAAATCTGGCTCGGTCTTTTCTGCCCCGTTCACTGATCTCTATTCAATTAATTAATTTTTTCTAATCCTTAACGTATAAATAAATTACGCCCTATATATATATAGGAATCAACCACTCCTTACCTACATTATTTTTCAAAAAGTTGTCTTCCAGTTTGATCCTATATGGCCACTTCAATATTACAATCCTCAATATCTTCACTTAATGTATCAAAGCTTCATTATTATCCACGAAGATGTTTCTCTGCTCTAAATAGTGCATCATCATCATCGTCTTCAAGAAAGCTGGCTCAGAAATCGAAGGCTTCCATGAAGGAAATCTCATTAGAAGATCACATCAATATTAAAGGTGAAGGTTTCTACAATCTGCATCACGAGTCCAATAATAACACAGCCACTCTTCAACTCTACGCCATTCTAGAGACAATTTGTGACAGAATCGAAAAGCATCACAACGTTGGAGACCAACGTGACAATTGGAACTCGCTTCTTCTGAACTCCGTCAACACCATCACACTCGCCGCCACGACCATGGCCGGTGTCGCCGCCTCCATCCACGACGGCGCAGCGCCACTGAAACTGTCGTCCACTCTTCTGTTTTCTGCAGCAACGTTGTTGTCCCTCGTCATGAACAAAATCCAACCTTCTCAGCTCGCCGAGGAACAGCGAAATGCTACAAGGTTGTTCAAACAGCTTCAGGCACAGATTCAAACCACCATCGCCATCGGAAATGCCACTGAGAAAGACGTTAACAGTGCAATAGAGAGGGTTTTAGCACTTGACAGAGCTTACCCACTTGCCTTACTAGGTGGAGCCATGCTTGAGAAATTCCCTTCAAAGTTTGAGCCTGCGATTTGGTGGCCTTCAAAGAGAAATCAGCAGGAAAGCTCGAGTTCACCGACGACGACGACGTCGAAGAAGGGATGGAGTGAGGAACTGGAAATGGAAATGAGAGAGATCATTGAAGTGGTGAAGAGAAAAGACATGGAGGACTACGAGAGGCTTGGAAACTTGGCTTTAAAGATGAACAAAATCATGGCGATTTCTGGTTCTTTACTCACTGGGATCGCAGCATTAGGGTCTGCAACAACATCTCTGGGAAATATTAATAGTGATAATGGGTCATGGTGGGGAAGCTTGATGATGACAGTGCCTGCAGTTGCAGGATCAATGGCGAGCGTTGTGAATGCTTTTGAACATGGAGGACAAGTGGGGATGGTCCTGGACATGTACAGATACTGTGGAGGATTCTTCAAGCTTCTGGAAGAGACGACGGAAGCGACGCTTGAAGAAAAGAACTATGAGAGAAGAGAAAATGGAGAGATGTTTGAGATGAAGATGGCTCTGAATTTGGGACGAAACGTTTCGCAGCTCAGAGAACTTGCCTCTAAATCTGCTTTCTGCCGAGCAGAAGGTGTTGAGATTGATGAATTCGCCAGCAAACTCTTCTGAATCTAATTTCGATCTCTTTTAGGGAATTTAGGCTGTTTAATTGTAAAGACGACACTGATATTAATGAGATAATTAAAGCTCATGATTAATTGTTTAATATTCTTTACCCTTTGTTTTTTGCATTCTTGATTTTCTTGTACATTGTCCTCTGACTTTTCAAAGATTTAAGGTGTAATCTTTTTTATTTTCATGCATATAAATATACTTGCTTTCAATGTTTCAACGCAGTTTGAATTCAGTGATCACTGGATGAGTATATGATGGTTCAAATTTTTAACTTTTATTTTTATTTTATGATATATTTATTATAAAAAATATAGAATTTTAATAAATTTATCTTATCATCAATTTGGATAATATAAATGTAATTTGGATGGTTTAATTTAATATTAAATTTTTTTATAAATTTTATAAATTAATTATCAAAATATATTTTGTTCAGTTAGGAGATAATATTAAAATTTTTTATAATTTTTTATTTTTTATTTTAGTAAATATAATATTAAAAAAATAAAAATAAAGATAATCTTCAATTTTCTTTAAAAAAATTAAGAAAAATTGCAACTTAAAAATTTTAAATTTAAACTATATAGAGTATATTTAGATAATCAATTTATAAAAATTATAAAAATATTTAATATTAAATTGAACTATTCAAGTTAAGTTTATATTATTCAAATTGATAACATGATAAATTTATAAAAATTTATAATTTTTATTTTAACAAATATAAAATAAAATATAAAAATAAAACAAATATTAATCTGCCAGGTTGGTGCTTATCATCTCATGAGCATGGAAACCGGAGTTGTGTTTCAACTTGCAATGCAAGCTAAGTGATTTGACACCCCCACACGCATATATTTTTACAAAAAAAAAAAAGATTTCTTACGAATAAGAGACGTACGTTATAATGAAGGTGTTAAAATAAATTTAGATTTTTTAAGCCTTTTTATAAGCATAAGTGTGCTAAAAACATGCAATGCTATCTAATACTTCTACTGTTCTACTCATTTTATGTGACTCTTTGTCCAAATATATAAATTAATTACCTGAAAAGATTCAGTCACTTAATAATATCTTAAAATTTATCAAAAAAGGTCAAAATTATTTTGTGCCCCTCTTATCATAATACTGCTACAAGACAAGCAACTTCATTGACGATATAAAATAAATGAAATATATGGTAGTAACTATATGTTTGACGAGAGCAAACTTGTATCCGGCGGGTATATTGGATTTGGTATAATATTATATATATATATATATATATATATATATCATATGAAATTATGAATATAATAAGGATCCGATCAAGTTGGATTCTTATATCAGATTAATTTTTAATTTTTTTAAGAACTAGGACCTACATAGAGAGAGAGAGAGAGAGAGAGAGAGAGAGAGAGAGAGAGCTCTTCTCCCTCAAGTCCCGAAATTAATTTTGTTAAATAAAAATGATATTTTTTTTAATTTTATCACCGTAGAATATTTTACTTTTACAAGTCCCATTTGATGTGCTCGAAACCACGTCGTATGAGTGTTTGACTTCGTAGAAAAGTTTGAATAGGGAACAAGGCAACCGACAAGCCATGTCAAGTCAACCCAACGGCGGTCAATGGTTTCTATTACATAATTTTCCTTGTAAGGTATTGATTTAAGCTTAATTTCACTTCTAAATATAAATACGCCTCCAGATTAATAATTATTTCACATATATAAATATAAATTGCAAAAAAAGCCTCCTGATGATGTGGGGTGGGTCATGTGACTGAGTGAAATTCAAATCATCCGAATATAGAGAAAAATTAAATTACAAATCAATACTTTTACTGGTTCAATAAACTTTCTCATTTAAAAGTTTTATGGCATACATTTTTTTTTCTTTCGTCAACGTTATAGAAAATTCACCGAGAATGAAAATTTGGAGGATAGTCTCTCGTTTTATAGTTTGATCTTTTCTATATTTTTAAGATTAAAAGACACAAGGCATGCGAAGAGACCGATACATTTGGAATATAGTTTTTTTTTTTTTAAGGCTAATTCCAAACCTGTACGTATATAGCAATTTTGTTGCAATGGGTTGGTGGATCATGGGCCAATCTGCAACTGACTTTGCTTTTTTTTTTTTGGTTGCATTTTTAGATAATTTTAAAGTCTTTCAGAATTAAATTACAAATTCTTATTAATTAAATTTAAATATTTTCATATTTTATAAAATTATATGATTAAATTACTCTCAGAACACAGAACTTGCAAATATATGAGAGTAATCTATCTTGCACAATTATTCTATCAATTATATAAAAATGATAAATCAATAAAAAAAAATGGAATCAAATATCAAATTATGTTCCTGACATGACACAAATAAGCCGTGGTTAAAGTAAATGCAAAACAATAAGTTATTTTTTCATTAAAACTAAAATTAAATACAAAAAAATCATATTTTTAATGAATTAGTGGATTAGTCCACCGCAAGTTTGGCAGACAAGGTCAAATGAGCCTACTGAGCCTAACTCAAATTTTTGTGGTTCTATTTTCATCTAGAATATTAGATTGCTCAATAAATGTTTTCGTAAGAGCTTTTAAGTTTAGAGACATTTATGTTTTGGCCCAAGAAGCTCTTAAAATCAACTCACTTAAACTGTTTTTTTAAATAAAAAAGAACACTAGATTGCTATAGGATGTTTTTCAAATGCATTTGGTTAATTTTTTTTTCGGTTGTTAATTTGTTATTAATCTTGTGACTCTCCAAATTTATATATTTATATGTAATATAAAAATTTGAACAAATCATGCAATTCATGAGTTAAAAAGAGTGTATCTCGTTTCTTAAACTCAGATATGCCCTAATTAGTGAAAAACACTTGAAACATATTTTGTCCCATCAATGAGGCAAATCTACATGCAAAGGGCTCGTTTGCAATATGAACTGGATCTGGATTAGGGGCTTTGTCAAAAGATTTGGCAATGTTCGATACATCTTTGAGGAGTTTATGGGAATGTTAAATGCAGTGCCTCATTGACTCTTGCAAGTTAAAGAGCCCTCAAGCCATCATCTGCAGAATAACACGCCATCAATGATGTCAACTAGAAAAACTATTATATGCAGTGATAGATCACTCATGGTCAAATTTTCAAATAAATTAACATGCTCATTAAATAACTTGACCTATGTGAATGACACGTATTATATGACATAGCTCACCCTTGCCCCTTGTTTAGATGTAAAGGAAAGAAATGGAAGAAAAATTCTTAAAAATATATAATTTTTTTATTATTTTTGAAAATTTCTCTTCTTTAAATTTTTTTCCGCGTTTCCTGCCATTCAAACCAAGCCTTGGAGAGTGCGAGTACTTTGCATAATTAGTGTTCCAGCCATACTTAATCCTTTTTCATATGGCTTAACACCATATCCTTTCAAAGAAAGAGAGAAAATTGTGCAGAATATTCTAATTGGAGGACTTAACAAAATCTATATAATCTAGATTGGGCGAGGCAAAGTCACATATGGCGGCAAAGCTCAAAGCTCTCTCAACAAGCACTTAAAGCACTTGTATTTTTAGGATTCAAATTTAAGATTTTTGAATAAATTGATACAACCCTTACTAGTTAAACTAGGCACTCGGTCAAAGGCAAAACTAGGGTTCAATGTTAAGGGGGGGCCACAAATATGTAATAGAAAATAAATAATTATATAATATATAAAAAACTCTTTTATAAATTATTTTTCACTATAAAACCCATGAGAATTTTAAAATGTATTAATTTTATATAAAAGTTAGAGTCAGTAATTCAAGCCATCCTGAGCTTGCCTAAAAAGTTAGAGATATGCTTGACTATAAGAGCTTTTTTAAAGAAATATGATACTTTAAACCCAACATAAATAAGCCCAATTGCTAAAATTACAGCTTGATATATATATAGAGATAGAGAGAGAGTGGGTACTTTTGGCCAACTTCGATGGACTAAAAAAGTTAGGGTTGAATTTAACTATATAAATTTTTTCAAAATTATGAATACTTTAATAATTTGAATAAGCCCAACATACTTGAATTATCGTCTCTAATAAAAATTTAACAAGTTTTTAATTGTTCTTTTAGTAAATATATATGCTTTAATAACATATTTTTTTCCACCAATATTTGATAGGGATCAAATGATAAACTTATGATAAAAATAATTTAATAATATTTCCAACATTTAAGAGTAATAAAAGGTTAAAGATGGGTATAATAATTATTAAAGTGCCTTATAAGTAAAATTAAAACAAAACTCTCTCCTTGTCCTATATATAAATATATAGGACCACATGAGTAAGCAAAAAATTCTTCTCTTTTTATCTTATAAATAAGATCAGAGCAAATATATATATATATATATATATATATAATAATATAACAAATATGATAGGCAACACTCTTATTAAAAATTTGTATTTTCCAATTCCCATTCCAAAGCTAAAGTGCGGACCTTGTAGCTTGTTACTTTTGCAATGCCACATCAACAATACTTTATTACCTTGCAATGCCATGTCAACAATCACATGCAAGTCTCTATGACGATAATTATATAATAATATATGTGTGCGTGTGTGCGAATAGGAATCTAAAAGTTTATCGCCTTGCTACAATTCCCTGTGTTTTGTGTTATGAAATGACGGAACTTGGGGGGGCCCTTCAAGTACAATGTAGTTCCGCCCCTGCACTTGGCATGTGTGTTTGTTGGTGTGATTGTTACAAAAGGAATTAGTTTGGAGATGAAAAGAAGAAGTGACTGTATTCAATGAGAAGCCAGAGAACCTTACTCTGAAGTTGGCATCTTTCCAATTCAACTTTGTTCATTTCTCCCCCACTACTCAACTTTACCACAAATCCTCCTACACATCTCCCAAAAGAATCAACTCATTTTTATGGTAACGGTGTAGTGTTATTTTGTTATTATATACGATGCATTACACATTTAAATAAAAAACTTAGTCATAAATTAATGCCATTCTCTCACCCAAATATTAGATTGCATCCCACTCATTTATTCTCTGTCTCTAACGTCATATCCACATGCAAACTGGAAAGTTTTGTACCTGAGAGGAATCATTTGGTAATTATAACAAATATATTTTATCATTACTTCAATTTTTTATTATTACCCAACGAGGAAGACACTTGTTTTAATTAAACAACAATACTAATGCTAATATATATATATATATATATATATATATATTTAACATATTTGTTTCAGCTGACAAGGTAAGGTTAAAAATCTTGTGAGGCGTGCCCATAATCTCTTGATCATGTTATTTTTGGAAGCATTTGAAAACCAAGAAACGTAATAAACAAATATAAACACTGTTAATATAAAAATAATCAAAACATTAAACCTATTTACACCCCTAATTTAATTTGAAAATGGTGCTTCAAAATTCAAATATCTAAATTGTATTATATATCTACATTCTAAGCCTTGGAAGAGTTTGAATTTCAGATCTCTCATCTCTGCATGCACCCACGACGTTTTGATGGTAATGAGAAATACGCAACAATAAATATTACTTGACTATTGCTTGTAAATGTAAATAATAAAATAATTACAAGGGATTTAAATAATAATAATTATTATTATTACAAGGGATTTAAATAATAATAATAATAATAATAATAATAATAATAATAAAGGAAAACAACATCAGGTCAATTACGAAACGAAGCAAGGCGGAATCCAGGTGTGTGGGAAGAACGAGGGAGAAATAGCAGACGGGAAAGGCTGTCTTCGCTCGGGTCGGCGCGTCCATACTCTTAACCATCAGAGCAAACTTTCATTTAAAAATAATAATAATAATACAAATTATGTTTCTGAAATCCCAGTATTTAATTTTTTAGATTAGTTTGATTGATTTGTTCCAGACCCTTCCTTATCATTCTCCTCAAAGCCCAACTTCGCCTTCGTCACTCTGTCCTTCGTTTGAATCTATTAGGTCTGATCTCTAACTCTCTCTCTCTCCCACGCTATCTTTCTATTCGTTAGTTATTTTTCAGATCGGAACTAGTTTTATTTCGTGTGAATGGTCTGTTGAATGTGTTTTCTTCATCCCTTTTTTACCGGCCTCGTTTTCGCGCTACTATAATTTAAATTGATTCTGGAGATTTGGGCTGGAATTGTCTGTTTGTCGTGGCTCAGTTTCGTCATTCTGAAGCATTGAGAATTGATATTGACCTGATTGTTGATCAGTTATTCTGATAGGGAGGGTATCATGTGGGGAATCCTCAGGAGGAAAGTAGCAACTGCTGGCTCTTCTGCCACGGTAGATTCTGTAATTAAGTGTGTTATTCATCTAATGTATGTGAATTTCTGTTCTTGTAATTATGTTCTGTTTTTTTCGGGTGGGAGAGTTCAGGTTTTGAAGCAGGCGGTGCAGGGGACTCGAGCTCCATATTCACGGCGTTATGCCACCAGAGCAAAAGAGGTAGCTAGCTCTGCTTGCGTTTTAATTAAATATTTATAAACCCCAGCATACTTTCATGAGTTATTGTCTTCTAGCTGTTGAATGCGGTGCCTTTGCTATCATGTCTTTGTTGGGATATAACCAATTGCCCGTATTTTTCTGATATTCTGCTAAAATGTGATGCGTATATGTTGACTTCTTGAGTGTCTTGATATTATAAACTTTAATGCACTATGGATTTTGATTCGCCTGCTGACCTTTTATATCATTCCCTTCGATCAAAACTTCTAATTACAAACTTGTTGGGGCCTAGACAAATGATACTGATGTACTAGCCAAGTAGCCATGCCCTCTGGTTAAATAGCCTGCTTTCTGAAGTGCATAAATGCTGAATTTTGTGGCAGTCGCTACTTCTTGGAAAAGGATCAAATAGCGTAAGCAGTATTGGCTACAAAGTCTCTCTGGGTATTTGCACGGCTCTGTCAAGATGATTTTTTATTTTGGTATGCTACTTTTCTCTAAGTCTATTATTTCATATGACTAATATAAAGCTTAAACTTGATGACAGGGCGTTTAGATAATACCAAATCTATCAGGTCTGTGGCTTCTCCCTACTTTGATCAATTTCTACTTTTAAAGAATATTACTGATTTACTTTCAATATGTCTCACAGCGGGTTGATACCATTCCAAGCAGCTTCTCCTATATCTATGTGGAATAGATTTTATTCTTCTGAAAATGGTATGTTTTTAATATCTTCTGAAGATGAACATTATACGATTGAAGTTTATTTTACTACTGTTATGACTTATGATTGTTCTGCAGGAGATCTTAGTGATGCCGTTGTGCCCTTCATGGGGGAATCCATTACTGATGGCACTCTTGCGAACTTTTTAAAGAGTATGTTGTTTTACAAGCTTCTTTCAAAACTAATTTTTTAAAAAAATGAAAATAAATGGCTCTGTGCTTTTGCTCTAAACTTCTTGGTGTTTGGGGTTTCATATGGGAGCAGAACCTGGTGATCGTGTAGAAGTTGATGAGCCAATTGCTCAGATAGAAACTGACAAGGTAGTTTAGAAAATGACTTCTTAGTCATAATGGAAATGGTGCTTCACCATTTCTGACTATTGAATGCTTCCTAATTTCATATCTTATGATACAAGTAGGTGACCATTGATGTGAACAGTCCTGAGGCTGGCATAATACAGAAGGTACCAATACCTATGAATTAATAATGTACTCCAGTATTTTGAACCTTTTAATTCATTATCACTCATGACAAAGAGAGTAATAAAAAAAAAAAACCATTATCACTCATGATTAAGGGCATGGTTATGACTTTCATGTTTTCCTTGAAATTATATGAAGCTTGTCGCAAGAGAAGGTGATGTTGTAAAGCCAGGTGATAAGGTAGCTGTAATTTCAAAATCTGGTGAAGGTGTTGCACATGTTGCTCCATCGGCTGAAAAACCCACCAAGGCAACTCCTAAGCCATCTCAAGAAGAAAAGCCAAAAGCTGCTGAGGGAAGTCCAAAGGCCCCACCTCCTCCTAGGGAAAAGCCCCAAGCTCCATCTGTGACCACACAGCCCTCTCAGCCCCCAGTGAAAGAGCCTCAACTTCCACCCAAGGAGAAAGAAAGAAGAGTACGTTTTATCTTCTTACCTTTAATTGCCTTTTAAAATTATTTATTTTGTATCTTACAAATACCACCATTCTTGTGCAAATTATTTTTCAGGTTCCTATGACAAGACTTAGGAAACGTGTAGCAACACGTTTGAAAGATGCACAGAACACTTTTGCCATGTTGACTACATTTAATGAAGTTGATATGTGAGTATTTTGTCCGTGATTTAGATAATTAATATCAGACCTTAGCTGCTTGTATTATCTGCTGAAACTGCTGTTGTGAGTATGCCAAGATTTCGTATTTACAGTCTATGTTGTTTGCAAAATTTAAACTTGATCTGATAATTTGGTAATTGCTTGATGTTATGAATTTCAGGACTAATTTAATGAAGCTCCGAGCTGATTACAAGGATGTTTTTGTTGATAAACATGGTGTGAAGTTAGGACTCATGTCTGGATTTGTAAAGGTAGTAGCTATGACTTGTGGCATACCGTTAATTTTACTGTGTCTTGATCATCTGTGATTAATGATAATGTCCTGTTATTTTAGGCTGCCGTAAGTGCACTTCAGCATCAGCCAATTGTCAATGGCGTCATTGATGGAGATGACATCATTTACAGAGATTATATTGACATCAGTATTGCAGTTGGTACATCAAAGGTGTGCATTTTAAAAGTATTTATACTCATTATTTAATTGAAGTTTAGCTTTACCGTTGCATGAGTCTTGGTTCAGGGTTTAACGTGTGGGACCTGTTATAGCTAATTTGGTACTGCTACCATATTGGGAAATCAGGATGGCTATTTTTCAATATTAAGATAATTGTTAACTCGAGGACTACTAGTAAAATATTTTATTATTATGATTTTATCTTTCAAGAAGAATTGATTAGTGAGCTTTTAGTGTTATAATATCCAAGCTTTTCTCATTTGACATCGCATTTTGTTCGTTAGACACTTCTTTTTCTGTGTGTCTGGCATGAGATCTTTTGTGTATCTGAATATGGTTAATTTTCATGGCGCTTTGCTTCAAGGGTCTTGTTGTACCAGTTTTACGCAATGCTGCTCAAATGAATTTTGCTGACATTGAGAAAGAAATCAACAGCCTTGCAAAAAAGGCAAATGATGGCACTATATCAATAGATGAAATGGCTGGAGGAACATTCACCATATCAAATGGTGGTGTTTACGGAAGCCTTCTGAGTACCCCAATCATCAATCCCCCTCAGGTTTGTGTCTTGATTCATTCCACCTTGTCATTTAAGTCTTAGGAAGTTCTGTTTCAATGATTATGAGTATAGATATTCTGGTAATTATTAATGGCTAAAATGACAGACTAAGCCAATTTGATAGTTCCTCAGCTCATTTTCTCGTATAGTTTCAATATGTCTCTGATTGGTTATCAAGGAAAAAAAAATCATGTTTTTCATGTATTATCCTAAAACTTTGGCAGTCAGCAATCCTGGGCATGCACTCAATAGTGAACCGTCCAATGGTCGTTGGGGGTCAAGTTGTTGCGAGGCCAATGATGTACATTGCTCTAACATACGATCATCGACTAATCGATGGAAGAGAGGCAGTTTACTTCTTGCGTCGTATCAAAGATGTTGTGGAGGATCCCCGCAGGCTGCTTCTTGATGTCTGAAGCAAGTTTCCATGTATACTGATCTCCATGGATATTTATTTTGTCGAGTGCACTGAGCTTTTCGCCGGTGATTTGCCATCATTGACCTGGCACGTGGGAGGAGGCCTCAAAATTTGGTATATGTTTTGGTTCATTTTAAGGTTCTTTTGCTCCAAGGCCATCCTTTCCAAACGCTGCATGACTTATCTCCTGGTTTTATCTTATTTGCACTGATGATCATTTACAATATTCTGTCGTTTTGGGAAGAGGGAGCCGAGATGGTGATTTCAAATAAGGTGAATTTTCAATTGAATAGAAAATTTTCAATTGTGTGCCATTTATGCACAGGATGTCAATTTGGTAGAAGTGATGATCTTTACGTGCCTTGATAATAGAGCTTAAGTTTATTGTTCTGGATATTTCCAAGGTTCCATTGGAAAAACATCTAAATTAAAGAATGCTGAATATCGTCGTTTAAACATGTCCGAGACTCAATTTTGTTGTGAAGCCGATTTCTGGAAGACCAAATTCCGAGTTTGCACTTTTAAATGTATTATACTCCTCAATGAGTTAATTAATTATTTTTAAAATTATATTTTTTATATTTACCCCAATTTTATAAGGTATTTCAATTAGAACACTAACAGTTATACTCTTAATTAAGGGTATTTTTGAAAAAAAATTATTTTTGTATCTTGAAAAATTCAAAATGTTTTATATTTTTGACTTTGTTATATACATTGGGATAATTCTAATCTTGAAATGAGAATGTTGATATAAATATGCGAGCGTACTTTAAAATGAACATATCTAAGAAAAAGTAGACATAAAGGAAAATGATAGATAATTGTTTTAACATAGTTTGGATATGTACAAAGGTTATTGGAGGTATTAATGAGGAATGTGAAACCGATAATTTTGAGTTTTGTAACAAAGGATTGAGGGAGATTAAAAAAAAAAAATCTTATGAAACTTACAAAGGATTGAGGGAGATTAAAAAAAAAACTCTGATGAAACTTATTGAATGAGATCTCGTGGTATTTTCAAGAGCTTGTTGATAATAAAGTTTTGGGTAGTTAGAAAGTGAGGCTTGTGTTTTTGCATGGTTCTAAACTGAGTTATATTTACAATTTGTAAAAGATGGTTTTTCTAGTAAATTTTATATTGGTGTATAAATTCGTGCACCATGTTATTTGTATCATGTCCAATAAAAGTAGGTCATTATATATTCCTACTATTGAAAAATGTAAAGTATTTTTTAAAAAATTGAATGTTAAAAAATGCAAGATATTATTAATGTTTCGAGATCTTTCCTTTCAAAAGTATTCTCGTATTAATAAATAATTTTATATTTATTGTAGGGTATTTAATATGAGTAAATATAAAATTTAATTAAAAATATTTTACATTTTTTAATAGAGAGAGTAGTTATAAATATAAATTAATTTTATCATTGATGATGATATAGAAAGAAAGGTTCTGGTCCGAGAGATAAGGAGTCTTGGTGGTGGAATAATAGTGTACAGGACAAAATCAAGTATAAGAAGAACTGTTTTAAAGCCATACATTTGTGTAACAATGAGGAAAATTGGGAGAGGTACCGTATGGCTAAGAAGGAAACTAAGAGAGCTGTGGGTGAAGCTCGTTCCAAAGCTTTTGAAGAATTTTATAAGAACCTTGAGACGAAGGAAGGAGAGCAAAATATTTATAAGATTGCCAAGAGTAGGGAAAGAAAATCAAGAGATCTAGAACAGGTAAGGTGTATTAAGGATGAAGAGGGAAGAATTTTAGTTACAGATGATGAAATTAAAAATAGATGGGAGACTTATTTTTCTAAACTTTTCAATGATGGAGAGGATTCATCTAGTAACTTGGAGGATTTAGTAACTGGTGAAGGAGAACAAAATTTGTCATTCTATCGAAAAATACGTGATAAGGAGGTAAAGGAAGCTCTTAAGAAAATGGCAAATGGTAGAGCTAACGGACCTGATTGTATATCTATCGAAGCGTGGAAATGTTTAGGTGAAGAAGGGGTGAGATGGTTAACTAAGTTATTTAATGTGATTTTACGGTCCAAGAAAATGCCTGATGAGTGGAGGAGAAGTACATTAATTCCTATTTATAAAAATAAAGGAGATATTCAGAATTGTACTAACTATAGAGGGATTAAACTCATGAGCCACACAATGAAATTGTGGGAGAAAGTAATTGAGCACAGGTTGAGATTGGAGACAAGTATTTCTGAGAATCAATTTGGTTTTATGCCAGGTAGATCAACTACAGAGGCAATTTATCTACTAAGGGGATTAATGGAAAAGTATCGTTGTAAAGATAAAGATCTACACATGGTTTTTATTGATTTGGAAAAAGCTTATGACCGTATACCAAGAGAAGTGCTTTGGAAAGCGTTGGAAAAAAAGGGAGTACGGATTGCTTATATTAAAGCCATACAAGATATGTATGAGGGGGTAAAAACTAGTATAAGAACGCCTAGTGGTCAAACAAAGGATTTTCCTATAAAGATTGGACTACATCAGGGATCATCTCTGAGTCCTTATTTGTTCAACTTGATTTTAAATGTTTTGACGGAACATATTCAAGAGGAAATCCCGAAATGTATGCTCTTCGCGGATGATATAGTTCTTATAGCAGAGACAAGAGAAGAGGTTAATTGCAAACTTGAGTTATGGAGGAGGACATTGGAGTCGAAAGGTTTTCGTCTGAGTAGAAGTAAGACGGAATATTTATATTGTAAATTTGGTAAAGGACTATTCGAAAATAATTTGGAAGTGAAATTGGGAGATCAAATTATACCTCAAGTGGAAAAGTTTAGATATTTGGGAGCCATTATTCAAAATGATGGCGAAATCAGTGGAGATATTTCACATAGAATTCAAGCTGGGTGGTTTAATTGGAGAAAAGCTAAAGGAGTTATTTGTGACCGTAAGGTGCCTAATAAACTTAAAGGAAAGTTTTATCGTACTGCTATCAGACCGGCAATGTTATATAGTAGTGAATGCTGGGCTCTAACGGGACAGCAAGAGCATAAAGTTGGAGTAGCAGAGATGAGAATGTTACGATGGATGTGCGGACATACACGTAAAGATAAAATTCGAAATGAGCACATACGTGAAAAAGTGAGGGTGGCACCTATTGAGGAAAAAATGGTAGAAAATCGATTGAGATGGTTTGGGCATGTACAAAGAAGACCAAGGGAGGCACCAGTGAGAAGAGTGGAACATATAACGTTGAGTCCGATTAAGAGAGGTAGAGGAAGGCCTAAGAGAACACTCTTGGAAGTTGTTGAACGTGATCTCTTAATTAATAATATTTCTAAAAGCTTAATAAATGATAGAGCACAATGGCGTCTTGCAATCCATGTAGCCGACCCCACCTAGTGGGATAAAGGCTTGTTGTTGTTGTTGTTGTTGTTTGATGATATAGAAAGAAACAACAAGAAATTAAAAAGGCATTTTGTTTAAAAAAATAAAATTATTAAAAATAATAACATATAATATATTTTTTTTGATTGAATTGATATAATTTTATTGAACAAAATATTAATGAGTTGGTGTACCAAGTCTATACAAAAAATTTTCAAACTCATATACATATATGTATGTATGTATGTATGATGTTAGAATATGCCCCCAATACCCCAAATAAAAACAATTATCTTGTGGAGTGTGTAATGACGGGGCAATAAGCTGTTGGATTGAGCTGCGAAAGGTTCTTTTTATAACGAGTACGTTATTTTTCACAAGAGAACTGAAAAATTTTAAAAATAAAATGTTTTAACCTATCAACTTTTGTTTGAATAATAATATTCAGAAGTATAATTTAAAAAGTAGTTAAAATTTTGGGAAGTTGGCCTACTTGGTTTCGTTTTTACTGTATCGTTTTTACTGTAACCCTACTGAAAAATTAAGGGGGGGAATAATCAATCCATAATTTGTTGGAATCTTTAAAATTGACAAGGGACCCATAGAAATTAACGTTTCCTAAGTACAATACAGTTGAAATTGGCATACCAGCACTGCAGCACCTACTGTATTTTTGGGTCTGACCACTAGCATTTAAGGATTTGGTCCGGTGCGTCAGAAGAGTTGAAGATGACAATGTTGAGCTCAGTCACCTTATCCAGAATATGCAATAAATTGGTACTATAAGACTTGATGTACTTAAGGACAAAAGCATTAAATTGGCTATAACACTCGAAATGATGATGGTTAAAATCGTCAACAAGGGAGGAGTGATCAGAGAGTTCAAGCAGAAACAACACAGCAGATCAAATGAATCATCAATCAAGAAGGCTTGTAGTATTTCGTTGGTACAAATGGCATTTTTGTGACCACTCCTTCATTGAGTTTTCCTCTAATCACAATCTTCACTTTGGTCCCTGCTTTGTGCAATCCAGATTTCACATACCCCATTGCTATGTTCTTCTTCAGGCAAGGACTGAATCCTCCACTGGTCACTTCTCCAATGTTGTTGCCTTGCTCGTCTTGAATCTCGCTGTGGCTTCTGGGAGGCGGTCCAGTGGAGAAGAACCCTACACGCCGGATTGAAGGGCCTTCTTCGAGCTGTTTCAGTATAACATCAGCTCCAAGAAACCCTCCTGCTGCTCTTCTCCTTTTCCCTATGGCCCAAGTGAGTCCTGCTTCTATTGGTGTGATGTGTTGTTCCAAGTCATTCCCATACAGGCACAATCCAGCTTCAAGCCTTAAACTATCTCTAGCACCCAGTCCTGTCAGTCTTATCTTGCCTTCAGATTTCTCAAGGATTGCCTTAGCAAGATCTACTGCATTCTCTGAAGGAACTGAGATCTCAAACCCATCTTCCCCGGTATACCTGAAGTCTCAGCATAAAAGAGAGCTGGATTATGCATTGTACAAACAAAGAGATCAAGCATTTTGTGCAGAACGACAAATATATATATATATATATATATATATTATATCATCATCATTTTGTAAGTAAAAGAAACTACCGTAGTTTGAGAAGACAGACGAGGCATAGACAACTAACTGATTTGCAACCATTGAATTGATCTTTTATGTCAGAGAAAAGAGATTAGAAGTTCTTTGAAGCTGAATCAGAAGCAAGAATTGAGATCTTCTTTGGGACAAAAGCAGCCACTCAAAATGAAAATCACCAATAGTAATTTATTTTAAGCCCTCCAGTAATTTCCCATTATATATGATTTTCTGAGAAATTAGCCAAACAATAATAACAATGATTAAGGCACTTTTACAAGATAATTGACCAAGCCTCAATCACTTTATAGTTATGTGCTAAGCAACTGATCTTTTTTTTTTTTTTGGGGGGGGGGTTGGTGTGGGGAAGGCCCAGTAGACGGTTAGCCTGCCCAAAACACTGATACAACCAGAGAGCTTCACGCTGGAATTTAAGGTAGCAAGACCTTCAACACAGGTTCCATAGTTTGCAGAGACAATGGTTACTTTAAGGGAAAATACGTTTCAAAAGAACATACCCTGTCCTAGTAAGAAAACACTGTGAGCCATTGATGTCCAATATACGAAACTCGCCAAAGTACAACTTGCTCAAATCTTCTTTTGTCAGGTGTTGAAGAACAGGGGCAGCAAGAGGACCCTGCACCATAGAGACATAGAATTTTTTCCTGATGTCACAGGAAAGAAAATTTTCTAAACCAAAACAGCTCTCAATTTCACTTTTACCATTTTAAATAAATCACTTTGACAAATGATTGTCAATCATCTAATGATAGAACTACATGCAGAAACTACCATTTGGGTTCACTTGGTCCTTAGAATATCTTTTAAAAGTTCGTCAACATAATCCTGCTGTGAACTAAATTGATGGTTGTGCTAATGACAGCATTACACTAATGTTTTTTCCAATTAATTTTGAAGTTAAATGATGGTATTACCTGCTGACGGCAAAATTGATATAACGTGTATTCAGATCCAAATAGTATACTCCAGAATTAACTTATAAATGAATGAAAGAAGCTACACTTTATGCATATGCGTTACGTAATTTGTTGACAGAAAGCAATGGAAACAGGTGGAGCAAAGAAGGTTTCCAGAAGCGAGAAATTGAAGAACAAATTTGGACATCTGATATCACTTAAAAAGGAATAAAACAGGGGCATATCTGAAAAGTAAAGAACAATGCTGGAGGGCCCACGCAAAAGATATTGACAGTGGCAAAAGTTACATGTGCTTTTGCCAAAAGTTTTTCTAGCAGAAAAATAACAAGTCAACATTTTGACAACTCAGGAACTCATTTTGAAGTTCTTAGAAAAATATACACAATAAAGGAAACACAAAGTAGAAGAGTGTATGGAATGACCTGCAGAGCAAGAAGGGATCTCTCATCATGGATGTGCCATGACACATCACCACCTTTGGCCTTGAATGCTTTCATATGTGCCTCAATATGAGCAAGATCTTTATCCCTACACCCGGCATTCACAACCAAGTATATGTGATCATCCTTCACCTTGGTAATCACTGAATCATCGATAGCCCCACCCTTTTCATTTGTAAAGACAGTCAATGTTCCACTTCCAGGGGCAAGCCCAACAACATCAGCAATTACAAGCTTTTCAAGGAAAGGAATAGAATCCTTTCCTTTAAGACTTAGCCCACACATATGGGAGACATCAAATAGGCCACCATTCTCCCTACAGTTCAGGGTTGAGTCCATGATTGAGTCCTTGTACTGGATGGGCATGCTCCATCCAGCAAATGGCACCATCTTTCCCCCATGAGTAACATGGAAGTCATAAAGAACTGTCTTTTTCAGATCAGCTTCCGTGGCAAAATATCTGCGAGCCACAGCCTTCTTATCACTGCTGGCAAGACGGCGGGTGATTGATTGCCCAAGTTGCCATAAGCTTCCCCTCATCTTCTAAGCTTTCTGAGGAATATACAGAAGAGGCTGAAATGTTAATAAACAGAGCTAGCCTATGCTTTATAGGTTCCAAAGGAAGCCATGCTATGACATCCTCTCATTTCTTATGAAAGTATAGCTTAAAAAAAAAAGCATTTCAGTATTCTACCCACCAAAAAGGACCAACTTTTACAGGTAAAAGTGAAAACTCAAACAATCCACCGGGCTCATAGCAAAATAATTAAACAACAATCTATCAGGCAAATGGGATCCTCTGCATTGCGATCATGTACTAGTGCATTTGAAGAAAGAGTGATAAAAAAATAGGAAGACTAGAGAATCTGATTGTCCATCAGGTGCCACTGCATTTTAATATCGCCACGATTCACAGAAATGATCCAAATGTGGTTGGCACAAAAAAAAAAAAAAAAGTGACATATCTGGCTTCGAAAAAGAAGCCCAATTTCCTCAAGTTGCTGGCTTTTAATGGGGTTGAATTTAACGTCTTCAAATAACATAAAAAACTTCCAAGGAGAGCCACAGAATTGAAAAAGGTTCTCTCTAATCACCCAGAACCAAGAATCCAGGGGAAAAAAATCTAGTCTTCATTAAATTCCTAGATCTAAATGGCAATTCCCAGATTCATCACACAAACAGAAAGCAAACACCCAGATCAGAGTAAGCTGATGACATAAAAAACGATCCACAAAGCAAAATGCAACTAAGAAAAATAGAAAAAAGAGAGGGTAGAATACAGCACTGACCCGGTCAGGACTCTTTTGTATCTGCAATAATTCAGAATGAAGCAAATCCGAGAGCCTCGAAAGGGTCCGCTGAACAGAGGATGGACAGAGAGATAACCTCTCTTGGTGAAGTGTCTGGCGTTAGAGCATCATTTATCTGCTGAAAGCGAAGAATAAAAAAACAGAGTGAAAAAATTTAAAAATAAAAAATGGGGATTTGATTGAAGGGGTTGGTGGGTGGCTGTGAGGAGAGAGGCGAGAATACCCCATCGGGATTGAGTGGTAGAAGCACTACCAGACGAGACGAGGTTGTCCATCGCCTTCTCTCTTGTTCGCTAATCAACCGTTCATCCGTCCACCTCTGCTTTTTGTGTATATCCTAAGTATCTAACGGTTTCCATGATGGTCAGTATACAGTATTATCACAATGAAAGGGGACCGGTTTTCATGTCTGCTCCAAATTTAATGTATTATTATATATTATATTTGTTAAAATAAAAATTTATAAAAATTATAAAATAATTTTAATAAAATTTTTATTTTTAATCTGATCTAAATTTAATTTAATAGATCTAATTTAATATTAAAATTTTTATAATTAATATATATTAATTATTCAAATGCATTTTACATAGTCCTGAATTGCGCAGAATAAATTTAAATAATTAATATGCATTAATTATAAAAATTTTAATATTAAATTGAATTCTCTAAATTAAATCTAGATCAAATTAAAAATAAAAATTTTATTAAAATTATTTTATAATTTTCTATAAATTTTTATTTTAATAAATATAATATATAATAATATAATAATATTTTAAATCAAGATCATTCAAATTTTTAATCTAGATAATTTAAATCTCATTCTAAAGATGAGCGCGAAGGATAACTCAATCCCAGTAAAAGAAATAAATAAATGATAAAATAGCATCATGACATGACATAATTATTTATTATTTTAAAATTTATAAATATCTTTCATTAATTTTTTTGTAAAATTATATTTTTGATCTTATACAAAATAATATAAAATATAATTGTTAAAATCAAAATTAAAGTTGTCAGTAATAAAAGTATATTTTTTAATATAGGAAGCACAATTATTATTACATGACTAAATTAAAATTATTACAGTGTGTTGTTGATACTTTTAATAACTAATCTAAAGTTGTTAATATATAAAATGTATTTGTGATTGCATAATCAAACTAATAATTATGTTGTTTATATTAACAACTTGAATTTAAATATTAATCATTATGCTTTTTATTATTTTGGTTAGGATCAAAAACCTAATTTGGTATAAAAAAAATGTTAGATAAGTCACAAAGAACTTCAAGATAATCATTGCATTTTATAATATTTATTTATTATTTACCTGTTTAGATGAGATTTATTTATCATTCTCTTTATTATTATTTTTCTTTCTTTTTTATATGTCATTTGATATAAAAAAATATTTCTTTACTTATTTTGATGGGAAAATGGCATCTTGATTCTTTGCAGGGGAATTACTGAAACTTTGATTTTTTAAAAGAATTATTTTTTAAAATTAACAATGATAATATATAACATTAACAATTTTAAGTAGGAATAAAGATATTAATAATTTCTTTAGAAGAGACTCAAAGTAATTCTTCCTATTTTCATCTAACTATGATAACAACGTGATTTTACAGTCTTCTATCCCTTGAAACTTTGTTTTCCTTAGATTTTTCAAAATCTATTAAATGCCAAATCATATATCAGTATTCCATGGAATCCAAAATTTAGGACCACAATGTAATACCTGCTTTCATAATTCTAAATCTAACCCAAGCTTTGTGGGAACAGAAGGAGGAATACTGGCATACCAAATACTCTTTTTTCCCCAAAAAAAATTAATAAAATATTATTCTTGTGAGAATTATTATTATTATTATTATTATTATTATTATAAAATATAAAGTTATATAAGGAAAAAATTAGTTGAAACTCAATTTTTAAACTTTAAATCAATATAATTTAATTTTTACAGTTTTAATTATTTAAAATGTTGTTCTATACGTTTAAACAAAAATAAAAGTTATAAAGAATAAAGTTATTTTTTAAAGTTTAGACAATAATGTTTTATATGACTAAAACTATAAGAAGTAAGTTACATTTAGTTAAGGTTTAAAGATTAAATTTTAATTAAGTTAAAATTAAAAATTGAGTTATATCAAATTAAAATTTAAGTATTAAATTACAGTTGAATAAAAATATACAGACTAAATGATTAATTTTTTAAATTAAATTTAAAGAATCTTAAGATTAGTCATCGGCCAAAAACTGCATTGCATTTCACATGACATTGCACAATTGATTCGTAAAGATCTAATTTATCACTGTCAATATCATCAACATCGATGTTGGTCAAAAAATATCATCAACATCAACATCAACTTCAAATATACCAGCAAGCCGCAAAGTGGCCGATAGACCTAACTTTTTTTTTTTTTTTTGTTGCAACCTAAAATTCGTCTTGTTATAGTGACTTCAATGTGTATGGGCTTAACAGTTTGATAGGCTCAAGTAATAATGGGCCTCCATTGTGTCCTTTAAGAGTTGGCAATTATCAATTTAGATTTTCAATCTATTTGTTACAGAAGCCTCGTTATTAATACCTTACTACATTATAAGTTTTTTTTTTGTTTGTATTTATTGGTTTTTTTTAACATTTTCGAGGCCAATCAAGGATAATTCTTGTTGAAATATTTTTTATATTCACACAGATTTAAAATTATTATCGTGCTACAATTTGAAGTTTTATATAATACATGAGACTTTATAGTAATATATACACATACACATACACGTGTGTGTATCATGTATCATACGACTCGATCTGATTGAGTATCTTCTATGAATGAGGAAATAACTTAATCAAATGATCTTACATTGCTTAACACGCTATTATTGACCCAAAAAAAAAAAAAAAGAGTTCTTATTCTCCATGTTTGATGGGGAAGTCACTTCTCACTTGCATTCATTTACACTGTTTTTATATTTGTCAAACTTTCTAATATCTCATTTAAAAATATTAAAATATTATTTATTTTAATACTATTTATAAATCACTTTTAACATAATTTATTAAAATTAATGAAAATTTTAAATCTTATTCACTTTATCTTAAAATTTTTTAAATTTTCAGATTTAACCTTTAATTAGGATAAAAAATTTATTTTAATAATTTTTCTAGCAGTTAATAAAGATAGACATGTAAATATGAATATAAAAAAATAATGTAGTGCCTTGTAAATAATATCAAATTCATTATCTCTCTTTGCCTATAAATAAGATCAAAAAAATAACTTTGTCAATTAGAATGAGAATTAATAATAAGTTTTTTTTCACGTGACTTAACCATTATTACAATGTATTAAATAATGAAGCTCGTCAAAAGAAGTGTCTATATTTAATGTCTGACTGTGTATCCAATATGATTGCTTCTAGTAAGATGATACCTATAAGCAATTAAAAATAGTGAAGTATAAAAATTAGGTTATCTAATCATCAAATAATATGTACATACATATATATTTTTCCTAAACGATGTTTTAATTTTGCTATTTTAATTCCTTTTAATATAATAATAAGAACACATAGATCTCTTCTAAATTGAAATCTAATGTTGGTAAGGTTTCTAATTTAGAACCTAATTTGGCATGCATCAATTGTCGAAAATTGTTATTAATTGATTTCAGATAATTAGAGTCTGTGATGATATATGAAGAGTTTTAACCAAAAATTATAATGAGTTTTAACCAAAAATTATAATGGGATCCAAACTTCGAAAATAAAAGGCTACTATTTTTTACTTTATTAGACACACCTTTTGGCTAAAATTAATAAAGGAAAACCAAAGATCTTACACATACTCTTATACTGAAAACGGCATCAATTATTAAACCGATCAAGATAGTGGTTCGACTGCGGGTCAGAGTAGAGTCAGACTAGTCATGATTAAAATAATAAATTTTAATTAAAATATACAAAAATATTTTTATTTGACCATGAAAAATATTTAAATAAAAAACATTAATCCTAAAAATATTGTGTAAAAATATTATTTTGTAAAATATAATATTTTACAAGATGAAATCTAAAAATATTCATTAACACATTGAGTTAAAATGAGTAATTTTTACCAGGAATGCATTTTCTAATTCTTCCAATTTGAATGCCCCTTTGGCTACAATTCTCTTGATAACTCTATCCACATTCTGCGTGATTGCACTAAATCTAGGAAAGTATGGATGAAACTTGTAACACATTCTAAGCTTAATACTTTCCTTTCTCTTCCCTTTTAGGATTGGATTCTCTAGAATGTGAAAAACAATGTTGGTAATGCTAATATCAGAAGAATCCCTTGGAAGAATTTTTTTGCCCATATTTGTTGGAACATTTGAAAAGAGCATTGCAAATCTATCTACTCGAAAGATCACACTCTTGAGAAATACATCATTTTCACTTGCACACAGGACATAATCAATGACCTCTACTTTCAATCTCAACTTGGAATTATGCAGATGAATCAAGACAATCTTTTACTAGATGGATTCCACCAAAACCTAGCTGGATCAGATTGGATATTGATGGTTCTATTCTTACCAATGGAGATGCTTCTTGTGGTGGCTTCATTCGTGATGATTTAGGGAACTGGATTAAAGGCTTTACTAAAAGTCTAGGCTATCATTCTACCACTGCAGCTGAGCTCTTGGGTATTTTTGAGGGATTAAAGCTTTGTTGGGAGAATAACTTCAAGCAAGTTAATGTATACACTGATTCTTTAGAAGCCCTGACACTTGTTCAGAAGGATCATGATTCGAATCATCCTCTTGGCGATATCATTAAGAAGATCAGATATCTCATCATGAAGGATTGGGCTGTCACCTTCAACCATGTGTTTAGAGAATGTAATAAATGTGCGGATTGACTTGCTCAACAAGCTACGATAGAAAATGCAGACACTTTATTTTATGACGTTCCACCTTCAAGGTATCATCGGCTCATGGGTTTTTGATTTGACTTAAGTCATCCTTTGTATGGTTCATCCGTGGCCTTGTATTAAAAAAAAAAATGGCTGGACAACTTGAGAAAGAAAACGCGTAGCAGTAATCAACTTTGAGAAAAGCCAAGGTGTCAGCAAGAATGACATGTTTTACTATCATTTATTTTAAATAAAAAGTAATGAAATTATAACCAGTATTTTCTTCTATCCTATCTCTCTTTTTCAGGCAGAGCTTCACTTCTCTATTTTGCTTTATCATTTTTTGATGACAGCTTAGTTGTTTGGCGTTCCAAATCTGCGTTATGCTCTTCGGTGTTCCAAATCTGCCTAGTTTTTTGGTGTTTTCCCAATCTACGCATTCCAAATCGCCTCTCTTTGTTCCAGATCTACTCAGTCTCTCCGGTGGTGTACTGCTCTTCATTTGGGTTGCCATCTCGTTTCAAGCATATCTAGCACGAAGCAACATATATCCTTCGCCACCATCTTCTTCTTCTTCATCACGCTTCTTTTTATTCATTTTTCTGGTTTTTCTTGGCGTTGTTTTGAAGCTTCTGAAATTTCAGCTGAGCCAACACTATTTTTTATTGTTTTATTTTTAAAAAAAAATTGAAGGCAAAAGTAAATTACCTGGTTAACCCAACTAACTCGACAAGTTATTCAATTTATACTAGATTGATCCCGAGTTAATTAGGTTATATCGTGTCATAGGCTAATTGGGTTAGGAGAAAAACTGAATTGGTAAAGAGGCCGGTTCATCGGTTTTTAAATTGACTTAGTCAGTTTGACTTGGTTTTTCATACAATGCTTATAATTCTATTTATAAGATAAAGAGATAATATTTATATGACATATCAATTATTATTATTTTTATTTTTATCCTTTTATGCCCTTATTAAAATGTTAAGAAGGATATTAAATGTTAGATTATTTTACTTTTAATATATATATATATATATTTAATAAAATAAAATTAAAAATTTGTTAAATTTTTAGACAGAGTTAATGAAATTTAAAATTTATCTTAATTTTAATAAAACATGATAATCACTTATAAATAAAATAAAACTGTATATATAAGGGTGGAGAGCGGAGACAATCAAATCATTTGAATAGGGAAGATAAAAAAGAAAAAGAAATGGTAATTTATTATTTTGCACGAGAATCATGAACTAGGATTCATCTCTAGGTAAAACAGTAGATCACATGTCATGAACACTAGAGACATCAAACAAATTATGGAGTTTTGGTATGATATATTTTATGAAGGGAGGGAGATCGTAAGAGCTAGGGTTGGTGAGAATGGACACTCATGGCAGTATTTCCAGCTGCTCCATTGGTTGCCCCTACTCCAAATCCGAATCCCATTCCCATTCCCATTCCAAATCATTCCCATTCCCTTGCCATTTCCATTGTATTCGTATTCCCTCCTCCATAGCCTCCTCCTTCCCCTCCACCATATCCTTCTCCATATCCACTCCCTCCTCCTCCACCTCCGCCGCCGCCACCTCCTCCTCCCATGTCGCCCATTCCCATACCAAAGCCACTTCCATGACCAACCCTCCACCATTGCTTTCTCCTCCTCCGCCACCTCCTCCACCACCTCCACCTCCCATGCTCCCTATACCCCCACCCGCTCCAAATCCATTCCCATGACCTTCTCCTCTACTAGAGCCGCTTCCACCTCCACCTCCACCTCCTCCACTACTTCCTCCTACTCCACCAATATTGTTGCTCACGCCAAAACCTGCACCGACTCCACTACCTTCACCATATCCTCCGCCCATGGCCTCTGCCCGCCGCCGCCGCCGCCGCCTCCACCTCGTCCCCCTCCTCCTGCAATTCCCATGCCAGCTCCTTCTCCAAAACCACTTCCATGACCTGAGCCTTCACCACTTCCACATTGCTTCCTCCCTCTCCCCCTCCTCCTCCACCGCCGCCGCCACCTGCACCACTAGCTCCCCCAAATCCTGCACCTGCTCCAAATCCACTACCACGACCGGACCCTCCTTCTATACCACTTCCACCACCTTCTCCACCACCACCACCTCCATTTTCACCTACTCCACCTCCTGCTCCGAATCCTTCTCCATGGCCGGACCCACCACTTCCTCCTCCTCCTCCTCCCCTCCTCCACCGCCGCCGCCCCCTCCTCCACTCCATTGCTGCCTCCACCTGCACCATATCCCTCACCACGTCAGAGCCCCCGGTAACTCCATTGCCGCCACCGCCACTCCCACCACCTACATTTCTCTCTCCCACCTCTCCCGAAGAAACTCCCACACCCCCTCCAACTTCTATAAGAACAATAATCACCATTATCGTCACCTCCAAACCTCCATCGGCTTGGATCAACATAGCCACTGTCATTGATATCCACGTCCTTCCCTTGAACAACGCCACTCAAAGCACACAAGAATGTACTCCACGTAAGGAAAGCCACGAATATCAGCTTACCAGCAGTAGTAATAGCACCCATGATCTTTCTCTCTTAACTTATATGAAACTCGAAGAACTTCGTGTTTGTGATGATTAATGACCCCTCTACTTGGCCCTCTATATAGAGAGCCATGTCCATTAAAATAATATTGGCACAATAATGTTATATCACTGCATTTCACAGGGAAGCATTATGGGCGAAATTAGATTCTACGTGCAAGACATATAAGTCAAGAAATGTCCAATTACTGTCTCCTTTGGTCAACCATAGCCGACTGAAAATATTAAACAATTTAAGACAAATCGATGCTTCTGATATATAATCAAATTACCCTAAATCATTGTAGTGATGTTGCATATATATTAATAAAACTCTACCTATGGAGCTAGAAAACATGGTATAATTAGATGTAGTGGGAGTAGGTGACTCTATCATATCGAAATATGCGTAGCAATTCGCGAGCATGTATAATTTATACTTGTGAATAGTGTAAAGGAAATGATACATGTGATGTTCACTTCAGTTTTATTTTTTATAGTATGTTCCCCACTAACCCAAAATTAATTTGACAAATCAATATTTAATTTAGAAAAAA